GCCTAAAAGGGCGAAAAAAAGGGCGAGCACCTTTAGGAAAGGGCTAACAGGCATCTTGGTGTCCTTTTGACATCAACCTTTCCTGGAATCACCATGTTGCCCACACATGTAAGAAGACTAGACAGGCCATAGGTATAATATTATACTCACGCCACGCCCATCTTTCTGCCAGCTGTCGTGCTCTTTTTTTATAATGCATAATAAGCATTATGGAAACGAGTTAAGAGTAACTCTCCACCACTGTAACTAGACAGTCAGAAAGTGCAACAACTAGGCACAAAATAGGCCTTGGCGGATAATGCTGGCAGAAAAATTGGCAGAATTCGGTACTTTTTCTGGTAAGTTTCATGCATGTTTGGTATGTGGATAAAGAAATGGAGCAGAATTCGAGGAATTGCCCGCCATAAGGTTTGTATGGTTCTGCCAATTTCGGTGCAAAAAAAGCAGAATCTGCCACCTTTTCGAGCATTATCCGCCAAGGCCTAGCACAAAACTGACAGAGTACTGAGACATTCGACGTCCTGACACCTAGCTTCAACACATCTCCGTAGCGCTAACCGACAGCCTTCCAACCTTGAACCTTCCAAGTTGGAAGGCTGTCGGTTAGCGCTACGGAGATGTGTTGAAGCTAGGTGTCAGGACGTCGAATGTTTCAGTACTCTGTCAGTTTTGTGCCTAGTTATTGCACTTTCTGACTGTATAAAGTATCATGTTACAGTGATGGAGAGTTACTCTTAACTCGTATCCATATGTCCTTTTCTCTTCTACATTTATTTATGGCTCAACATCCGAGTTTCATATTATTATTATTATTATTATTTAAACAATCGACGAGGAGACAATAGTCGTAAAATGGCAATAAATAAGATAAATTGTGCACTCATAACAACAGCAAAAATGAAGAAAGTCAAGTTCCATAACGTTTTCTTGTGACTGTCATCAGTGGAACGCCGTCACATAAAAATGTAATAACTAAAACACACACTTATATACATGTAGCTAATATGGTTTCAGGTAGAAATACAGCAGCTAACAGGTACAAAAAGAACGAATCAAGGAAAGGGAAGCGGTGTCGCGAGGAGATGGAGACTGATGACGACGAATACGAGTGCGATGGGATGGACGGCGGCATTGGAATGGAGGTGGAGGATGAGAGTAGTGATGAGGAGGAGTTTGATGTTGACAAGAGGAAGTCTGCAGTGTACAAGCATTTGGTGTCCAGTCCAGAATGTCGTAAGGTGTTTGACGATTCCTGGTTTAGTGTTATTCGTTGCGCACGTTTCTTCAAGCAATTGCAGGTGTTGGAAGCTGTGTATATTCGTACTCGTGACCCTGTGCTATGTAAACAGAAAGAAAACGTTGTATCACTCACACTCTTCAAGTAATACACACGCACCATTACATTCATTCACACAGTATCACATTCATCTGCCACTACCTTTCTCACATACACTATATTCACACATTGCAAAGGTGCAAACTTCCCTTTTTGTACCTGTTAGCTGCTGTATTTCTACCTGAAACCATATTAGCTACATGTATATAAGTGTGTGTTTTAGTTATTACATTTTTATGTGACGGCGTTCCACTGATGACAGTCACAAGAAAACGTTATGGAACTTGACTTTCTTCATTTTTGCTGTTGTTATGAGTGCACAATTTATCTTATTTATTGCCATTTTATTATTATTATTATTATTATTATGAAATGACCCAAAGGCAATGTGCCTATCGAGGGGTTCATTTGATTGAAAGAACAGTAGATGTAGATGTATGTACAAAGACAAGTAGGGATTGATGAGGAGAGAAAAGGGGAAAATCAACTGCAAGGTGGCGGAATTCCGTTGATTGCATAAGCATAGTCAGCTGTAAATTTCCTGAGGGCAGCTTTGAACTTATAGAGCGAGGCTTCCGATGTTAGACTGGGGCGTAAACAGTTCCATAGAATAGCAGTTCGGAACATGAAGAGAGACTTAGACAATGATTTAAATTTGGGAAGAATGATTTTATTTGGTCGTCGCTCACTATTCGTAATCTTGAAATGGAAATCAGCAAGGTAATCACGATGATGGAAAACATATCTGTGAAAAGTAGTGAGACTGATGATTTGACGACGATAGGCTAGTGACTCTAGGGAGCATTTAGAATTTAAGACAGATTTGGAAGAAGTGTAATCAAATGCAATTTTTTTCTTTTTCAGTAGAGCTCTAGCAAACCTTGCCAGTAATTGATCAAGAGTGGTCATGGGTTTCTTATTAGATCCAAACGACCACACCGTACAGCTATATTCGATCACAGGTCTTACGAACCCTTTGTACAGTATGATCATTGCCGAAGGCGTAAGTTGCTGGGACATTATTGACAGTAGGTGCACTCGATATCTGAACTTCGAAGTTATTGAGGCGACATGGGTCCACGAAAGGCAAAACAGGAAGTAAAGTTCAAAAAATCCACTTTTTACAGCATTGGACATTGTGTACACCGGGTACAAGCTTCACCAACTAATTACTTGTTGCCCCCCAAAAAAACGGCGTGCCAAGGCCCATCGAGCACTCGGAAACTGTGATCGCATGCATGAGCAAACAAATTTAGCACTTTATCAGCTAAAAATGCTCAAAAAGAGCGATATTCACAAAAAAAACGCAATAAAGGGCGAAAGAAACGGGCTTTTCCAAAAAGGGCCTAAAAGGGCGAAAAAAAGGGCGAGCACCTTTAGGAAAGGGCTAACAGGCATCTTGGTGTCCTTTTGACATCAACCTTTCCTGGAATCACCATGTTGCCCACACATGTAAGAAGACTAGACAGGCCATAGGTATAATATTATACTCACGCCACGCCCATCTTTCTGCCAGCTGTCGTGCTCTTTTTTTATAATGCATAATAAGCATTATGGAAACGAGTTAAGAGTAACTCTCCACCACTGTAACTAGACAGTCAGAAAGTGCAACAACTAGGCACAAAATAGGCCTTGGCGGATAATGCTGGCAGAAAAATTGGCAGAATTCGGTACTTTTTCTGGTAAGTTTCATGCATGTTTGGTATGTGGATAAAGAAATGGAGCAGAATTCGAGGAATTGCCCGCCATAAGGTTTGTCTGGTTCTGCCAATTTCGGTGCAAAAAAAGCAGAATCTGCCACCTTTTCGAGCATTATCCGCCAAGGCCTAGCACAAAACTGACAGAGTACTGAGACATTCGACGTCCTGACACCTAGCTTCAACACATCTCCGTAGCGCTAACCGACAGCCTTCCAACCTTGAACCTTCCAAGTTGGAAGGCTGTCGGTTAGCGCTACGGAGATGTGTTGAAGCTAGGTGTCAGGACGTCGAATGTCTCAGTACTCTGTCAGTTTTGTGCCTAGTTGTTGCACTTTCTGACTGTATAATTATAGTATCTAGTTACAGTGGTGGAGAGTTACTCTTAACTCGTTTCCATATGTCTTTTTCCTTTCTACTTTTATTATTGGCTCAATACCCGAGTTCCAAATAAGCATTATCATAATTATATCTTGCCACATTTTGACTAATGCTGTACTGCCTGGACAAATCTATCTACTGCCAAGAGCAGAAACCATATTATGTTATCCTCGACCAGACCTCTCCTAGAAAGACAACGAATCCCGATGTGCTGTCTTATCCATCGTAATCGACTTTCCAAAATACCCCACATCTTAAACAATTTGACTGGTTTCGACAGGATAGCTCCACTAGGAACCAACTCTCCCTTCCTCTAGCCGGCTCTTTGGCATTGCAACACTCCCCCTTTTCAATGCCTATTCGCAGTGGTTTTTTCTGCACTAGGAGACAAAGGGCCAGCATTCAGGAACGCCTTTTGCTTTAGACCACAATTTTAGTCCATATTTGCTATATTATAGTCCATATTTGCTTCTTTTTCTTCTTTTCCTTTGACTTCTTACTCTTTTCCTTGCTAGCTGTGGTTGATCAAGAGGGGTAAGCAGCAGCATTCGGCCGGCTGTGGTTGGCTATAAAAACCCTGCAATCGCCATGCAAAGTGGTCATTGGCTACCCCAGCTATGTATTGCTTGGAATAGAACTAAACCACCAAACCAAACACAGCCCGGTGACTTGTTTTATCTACAATGTTTTTTTGTTTTTTTTGTTTTTTTTTTACTAGCGAACACAGCCCTACTAATAATCAGGGGAAGAGGACAACTGAAGTGACACTGGACAACAAGACAAAGACAATGTAGCTTCTCCTCTATCTCCGCTGCACAGCCCAGAGATCTGTTTCTAACTACCGTGATGTACATGTACTTGAAGTAGGTTATTCTCTTTTCTCTCTCTCTCTCTCTCTCTCTCTCTCTCCTTCTCTCTCTCTCTCTCTCTCTCTCTCTCTCTCTCTCTCTCTCTCTCTCTCTCTCTCTCACTCTCTCTCTCTCTCTCTCTCTCTCTCTCTCTCTCTCCTTGGTCTAGGCTGGGATGCTAAAAAAGAATTAGTGTAGAGCCTTTCTGTCCACTGCTTGACAGGCCATGTACAAGTATGGTGCACATGGATACACGTGCGTGGTACTTGGGAGCTCACCCAGCACTGTGTACAGTACATGATTGTACATTGTACATTATAAGTAGCTAGATAGCTCTATGACAGCAGGAGTATGACGCACGAACAAGCCGCTGCATGCTATCCTATGATACGCACGATATGCAGATATTATCGAGCAGCTGACCACGAAGCCCGGATCGAATGCTGACCACGAAGCCCGGATCGAATGCTGAGCACGAAGCCAGGATCGAATCATCCCGATGACTTGTTTCGGATCTTATCGGGGTCAGGTATACCCCCGGCTGTGTCCGATCCCACATTCACAGCTGCAGACTTCTACGTACAAGTAGTGCCTGTACATGTACTTGTATGTCCTGGGGCTGTAGCTGTGGGACCGCTCTCATTCGACGACCCGGACCGACGAGTACATGTATAACTCTAGTATAAGACTGTGTGCATGAGCCCAGACTGGGCCAGAGTAACAATAGTGTGACAACGACTCGCTGAAGTGCACCGTTGTCAGGCGTCTGGGGTGTGTACGGCGTGTCGCAGTGAGGCCGAGGGCAGCATGAGTATGGGCCGCCATTCACGGAATATCCATAGATGTACATGTACGTGACTGGTGAGCGCTCGAGCGTTGGCAGTAGCGTTGGCAGTAGCGTTGGCAGTAGCGTTGGCCTGTACGCCTGTAGGTCAAAAGAAAGCAGCTCGAGGTAGGAAAGAGGGCAACCAGATCAAGGTTAGTGATGTTGCGTGCCTGCTACACAATACTACAGTCCCCTCCAATAGTAATACAATAATTGCACTACATTGTAATGCAATCATGCAGTATTGAGGTGAACGGTCCACATGTTTGTCGAACGATTAGAAGATGAATGTGCCGTGTAGGCGTTGACAGCGTTGTTGCTGATTGTCACCTCAGCGCGGCGAGGTTTGTTGACTTCGAAAGTAGCAAGCAAGGGAACGACAACTAACTTCAGCCAGTTCAGGTCCCAGACAATTACTTCAGCCAGTTCAGGTCCAGTTCAGGTCCCAGAAACCGCGAAACGTACATATACAGGTAGCAGCAGAAAGGCATCGTGACGTGATTCGGTGGAACATAAAAAGATATCGTGATTCGGTGGAACATAAAAAGATATCGTGATTCGGTGGAGCATAAAAAGATATCGTTGACTCACAGTGATACAGAGTGACTACTCGCATGCACTACATGTACTGAAAGGCGAGCCATGATCAATTCCTAGAACTACAAGGACGAGAAGCTTGGCATCGCTTCAAACCATTAAGCATTAGGCGCGGTAGTATATTCCCTTTGTTTCTACTCTTCAGGCAGTATGGAGTTGGATACGCCTGTTGGGTCACCGGATTATTACTGTATCACGTATCTTCTCTTTTTGATTCTTGCTTACGCAGGTGTGGTCTAAATTGAAGCATTGTAAGCTAAACCCGCCGTCCCTACAGCAGCTACTTGCATGACCAAGCATGACGAATAGCCGCCTGACTGGTCATCCGAACGTCCACTTCTAAACCTGACTTTCAACAGACGCGCGCATGCAGGATATGCAATGGAAATTCACATCTGCCCGGTTCTGTTGATGCTTGTACTGGCGTACCTGCTGTTATCTGACGTAGCACAATATGCTGCTGCACACAGCACACTCGGCCCGGTGTCGACATTCAGGGACATTCCCATTGTGCCGTCGAATGTTCCGAATTGGCGTGCGGACTTCCTGCGTCCAGTGCAGGCTGTACGGCCTGTCCTTAACCGCACACTCGTGTCTCCTCTCGCACTGGCTCTATCAGAGGAGCTCGAAAACACCCTACATTCGGAAGGCAGTATGAGCGGTGGCAGTGCTAGCTTGGCGCGGCTGGGTCTTCACGGCTGTTCATCGATCACTGGTATACACCTGCTACAAGGGAATATCCTTCGGAAGACGGCCAATCGCGTGAGAAAAACGACATTGTTCTTCCGACGCCACCTGCTTCTTCACAGCTCCATCACCACGTTGCTATACACAGCGCTCGTGGTATTTAAACGGAAACCCACTTATAGTACTTTAGACTCTGATCAGGCATATCCGACAAATACACCAGCTGCCATGTTCAAGATCAAGGTAACTTTCCGCGCCCGTGGGACGAGGATATATAATTGCAAAACGAATATATCACTAGATTTCAGTAGTGCCCTGGTGAACGGTACGATAGAGGAGCTATTCACCTTCAATATCAAGGATGTTCTGCCGTATGTTGTAGCGCAGAGACCTGACGATGTCAGAGCAACCCGCCGTAAGGTGAAATTGTTCCTGCACATTCGGCCGACGCGGGAAACGCGGCGCATCTACCCATGGTTGACCGGGGATATCTCGACAATTCGCCGTCCGACATTGGTATTCGTCCGTGGAGCAGACCCCAATGGTTCCTTATCCTGTAAGATTCCAAACAATCCCTGGCCACTTCATGTCCGAATCAGTCATAACGAAAACCTGTATCGCGGGAAGGAAGCCAGCGACAAGCCCATCCATTCAGCACCTCACATCATCCATTCAGTACCTCACATCAGTGATGAGGTGAGCAATACCCCGTCGCTCCCAGGAAAGAAACGACATCCCTCCTGCCTGCACTCGACCTGTTCCAGAGTTTCGCGCGTCTTCGACTTGACGCTGTTGACAGAGTTTGCCATTTCTCCGAACCTACTACTGACGTCCGATGCAACTCGACTGGACATGGGGCTTTGCATCGGATCGTGCCGTCTCTCAGTCTACCAGCACTCGTCCTGCGACAAGCCGCCAGCGACTAACCACGCCAAGATTGTGGGCCATATCCTAGGCCTACCTGTGAGCTCCGAGGCAAATGATATCGAAAAGAACCACTATCGAAGCCAACTCTCAACACCATCATGTGTACCTTCGCCGGACCAGCTCACGTCAAAGTGGTTACTTTACGCAGTTAGTGGAGAAGGTGCATCAGAGGAAGCTGACTCTTACATTGACAGTGGCATTGTTCTGGTGCCACGACTGCTGATACCATTGGTAGATGGCTGTTCGTGTGTCTAGATGGATACATGTGTTGTCAAAGCAAAGTATACTATAGCATACCCTAATATTTCATTTACCGTTCTAAATATTACGAAATAGTAGCAGTTCTAAACACAATATCGCATGTACTCGTACTTGACTTGAGGACACCAGAAGGCTACAAGACTTCAAGTATTTTGTTGAGCCGCAATCCACAACTTGACTTCATTAATACCCAATTCATATCCTTGGCTGTTTATCCTAGTATCATTTATGGCATGTTGACGTTGGCGTGAAGCAGCGGAACTGGCCGGTTATACTTTTAAAACAATAATATACAATACATGCACTTCATGCATGCACAATACATGCACAATACATGCACTTCCGAGTCGGTCTTGGTGAGTTACAAACTATTACCGTACTCACATGAACAATCAGGGAGTAGATCTACTACTCCCTGGTTACAATAGAGCTTTACAGAAATTGCTAGAGAGATTGCTCGCATGAATGCAACCGTTATTGAAGAGTGTTTTTTAAAGATTACATACATGTAATTACTTCAGAAGTATAATTATGGTACACACACTTGAGAGGAATCAAAAGTGTTTCTGCTGCGCTGTAACTTTGAGTTTCACGGTTTTAACCGATCATCAGACATGCAGCAACTTGACTACAATTTTCAGAAGATATGATTGATAGGCTGCTAGCTCGGATGATGGCGCGAATGAATGATCCGGGCTGATAGTGTGATATGAAAATGGGGCTTACCTCCTATCTCAACAATATGACTCAATCAGTCAAGCTTGGTCCAGTCCTCTCGGATTCTATCCCTTTTTGCTCTGGTGTACCGCAAGGGTCCACTCTAGGACCGTTACTTTTCCTGGCCTTCGTCAACGACCTCCCTGTCCTCAACCCTGGCGTGTCCAGCAGTAGTAGTAGTAGTAGTAGTAGAATTTATTATTTTACTAGGGAACTCCCAACAGGCGTTGCCATTTTACTGGGAACCCTAACTCTCTGTTTGCAGACGACACTTGTATGCTGCGCAGTTGTCCCTCTGTTTCCCGTCTTATATTAGACCTCCAAGCGGGTATCACGGATATCACCTAGTGGATGGCATTGTGGAAGCTAAAACCTAACGTTGGGAAGACCAAGGTAATGATCATTCCCCCTCTGTCTACTACTCTCTACCACCCTCTCCCTCCCCTAGTATTCCATTTCTCCACCACTCCCATAGAATATGTAGATCATCACAGGCATCTTGGTGTCATTTTTGACACCAATCTCTCCTGGACTCACCATGTTGCCCACATATGTAAGAAGACTAGTCAAGCCATAGGTATAATATGCTCACACCGCGCCCATCTTCCTGACAGCTTTCGTGCTCTTTTTTTATACTGCTGTACTGCCTGGACTATTCGATCTATTGCCCAACAGCAGAAACTGGAAATTCACAATCGTTCCCTCCTTAAGATTCTTTATCATATGCCCAAGTCCCTTTCTAGTGTCGCTCTCTATATGTTATCCTCGACCACACCTCTCCTAGAAAGACGAAGAATCATGATGTGCTGTCTTGTCCATCGTATTCGACTTTCCAAAATACCCCGCATCTTAAACCATTTGACTGGTTCCGACGGGATAACTCCACTAGGAACCAACTCTCCCTTCCTCTAGCCCGCTCCTCTGCATTGCTACACTCCCCCCTTTTCAATGGCTATTTGCATTGGCTTAAGCTGCACCAGGAGACAAAGGGCCTTTCTACTTTAACAGCATTCAGGAACGCCTTGCTTTACCAGTAGACCACAATTTCAGTCCATATTTGCTTCTTTCTTCTTTTCCTTTCTTTTTGACTTCTTACTCTTTTCCTTGTTAGCCGTGGTTGGCTATAAAAACCCTGCAATCGCCACGCAAAGTGGTCATTGCCACATTGGCTACCCCAGCCATGTATTGCTTGGAATAAAATAAAATAAATAAAATTGCGTGAGTTGGGTGATGGGGTGCAAAAATAGGCGCAAAAAAAACACTTTGGGCCTAGGCTCATGCAACCACATGTTCTTATGAGGGAGGCAAGGAGAAGTAAAGTGGGGTAATCATGAGCAGCACCTCACCTAGCGAGTGGTGAGAAGGTTTTATATGTGACGGCTGATGGTGAGAACAGGTGACCACAGAGAATGCAATCGGCCGCAGCTGATGAACATGCTGTATGTGGAGATCATGCAGTCCGGTTGTCACCGCTGAACGGTATGATTCTACAGTGGAGATCATGCAGTCCGGTTGTCACGGCTGAACGGTATGATTCTGCAGTGGAGATCATGCAGTCCGGTTGTCACGGCTCGACGGTATGATTCTGTAGTAGAGATCATGCAGTCCGGTTGTCACACCTCACCGCTGAACGGTATGATTCTGCAGTGGAGATCATGCAGTCCGGTTGTCATGTAGGGTCCAGCGGATAATGCTCCGAAAATGTTCGTATAATGCTAACCATAATGCTCCAAAAACTGCCTTATAGTTATAATGCCGATTATAATGCTTCAGCAAGGGATATAATGCTCTTGGTTTGGGACAAAAATGGAAGAAAGTCTGCACATTGTCAAACTTCCAGGAAATTATTCATATCGTCGATCTGCATCTGAAGTTGCCACCTTATCTCTCAAGAGCTCCACCACTTCTTAGCACTATAAGACATGACCGCTTCTCCATTGATTGCTCTCCATTCCAACTTTGATGCAGGGTTGTGGCAGAATAGTCGGTGTATCATATCTTTCCCCTAATTATCCATGTAGTGAGAGATGAAACCATTATTGCAGGTAGTCATTCATTGTTGGGATGAAGTTAATATTGGCAAATAGTATTCCTGCCTGCAGACAAGCTGTCACTGCGTCCACTCTGTGAATCATGAATGTCTTCATCTGATACACCAGACGTGAGGCCAGCTCCTGAGATCCGATCTCAGATGGAGAGCCCTTCCATTTGCGGAAATCCTGAAAACACGTGGTCAGAAGTAATTTTGCCACTCTACATCCTTTGCTTGTGCTCTCATCTTCTCCTTGAGATGGTGTGTAGACGTATGGCTTACCACAATACTCTTCCTTTCTGATAGCATTTGACTGTAGGCCTGGCATTACAACCGTCCACAACTAACTGTACGTGCTTCATCAGGAAAGTAAGACAGGTGCTGCTGAGCAATCGACTTGGTACTGAGTTCATGAGAAATTCTAGTTCTTTTCGAGCCTCCTGAGCTGGACTCGGCAAAGGCAGTTCTTTTGGAACGAGCTCTTTCTGTTTATAGCCGCTCCTTCATCCTGGTCCACATTAATTTTAGCAATGCATCAGTGTCTACTTCAGTATCGCTAGAGATGCTATCGCCAGAGCCTCTGGCACAACTAGAAAACTCTTCTTCGTCTGTTTGATATTCACTTCGCGTATGTCTCCTCCATAATAATAATAATAGTTACAGTTCGCATGTCACTCATGGAAGGATCCATGGGCTTAACGCATCTGTCAACGAAATCCAGGCAGAAGAGCCGACAAAAGGCATCTCATTATTGTTAGAACGTATCGCAGTAAGAACAACTACGCAAGCGCAGCACATTTTTCCACAAGCATCAGCCATTCTTTCTTGTCTAGAGCCAGTTCAAAACATGTCTCCTCCATAGCTCTCCATTATTCTAAAAGTAAAAGAAACCTCGTAAATAATTTAAACACACGGCGAGGAGACAACAATTTTATAACCGCAATCAATAAAACTAGCTGAACCGACATTTGTGTACTCTATTCATGCAATGTAAAAAACGGTGGAGACGATGTGCAATAAAACGATGAAAATATGAAGAAATGGTGTAGGGAAAAAATATGGATTCAAACAAGTTTTCGTACAACACTCATCAGGAATCGTCGTTGTACTAAAGGACACTGAAACAAAAATTGAACTATTATAGAAAATCTAAGTTAGAGAAATAACACTAAGAGCAACAACAGTGAAATTTACAAGTGTGAATTAAATAATTACTCCGGATTTGTGTCACTTGAACTGGCTCGGCCTCGGTTGGGCATGCTTCACAACCGGCTTGTATACATTTACCTGACCACATCGCTTCAATCATAACGTTTTTATGTAGCAATAGTTATGTAGCGTTTAGTGCTAAAGGTGTTACGTGTCTACCCAACCACAAAGTCATGCGCCGGTACAATGCATAGTGCTCAAATGCCCGGAATGGGCGGAGCGTAGTACGCAAGAGGTACACAAAAGGAGTAAAATAGGGCTGTTTCGTTGTTCCTCAGAGTTTCATGGCAAAAAACAATCATCAGACAACATCTCATGATCATGATTGTATCCGATTGTTGCCAAAAACCTGGGATTTCCCGATATTATCCACTTTGAAACTCGTTATCCCACTCAAACCTCACATAATGCTCGTTTTGTTCCTTTATAATGCTCCATAATGCTCTGATGCTCGGATAGTCGTATAATGCCGAATATAATGCCGGCATTATCCGCTGGACCCTATTGTCATGGCTGAACGGTATGATTCTGTAGGGCTGTAGACATGGTCTTGGGATAATTCTCCAGCCCTTCCTTCTCTACCTCTGCCGCAGTCTGTGTAAACGAAGCGTGCGCGATCGACGCCAGGTATCGGGAGTGTGCTTTCTCAATCTCTCCAAGGCATTTGATAAAGTCAGTCATGAGCGTCTCATTCAGGACCTGTTTTCTTTCTCTTAGCCTGTCACCAGGAAACCTATAGGGTTTGACATAACGCTACACATAAAGACCCTATATACATGTATAGGGTTAGGACCCCTAAAGAAAGGGTTTGATCAGTCCTCACAACTGGGTAGGCCTCAGCGGCTAATGCTAGCATTAAAAGTAGCATTAAAGGCCTTTTTTTGGAAACTAGCATTGCTCTAGCATTGCAAGCAGGTTTTATGGGGTAAAAAGCATTAAAAGGGGCCTGGGGGCTAAAAACCTTTCCAAAGCATACGCTGCAATGACCCATATGGTAATGTTTGCACCAATTATGGAGTCTGGGCCTCTTCTGGCACACAGCAAGTGCACAACAGGATTCAAGGGTACATATATGCCATACAGTAACAAAATGGGTACTCTTGGTCCGGCCACAGTCAAAATACCGTTACCGCTAGCGTTATCGTCTCAATGCTAAGGGTGCCTATTTGGAAGCGCCAAACCTACACACACACACCATGGTGCCCTGTTTCATCTGATCGTGTCTACAATGAAATTAGACGCAAGACCATCCGAAAAAGTATTTCAGTACACCATTTTCTTTCCTTTTTATTGGTGCTGAAACTAGCATTAATGCTGCAAACGAGCACTCAACCTAGCATTAGCAACCAAAATAACTAGCATTGCCAAAAGCATTTTTGCCCAAAAAAACTAGCATTAGCCGCTGAGGCCTACAACTGGGCACACAATACACACAGTTTCACTTGGGTTTTTTTTATTTTTTCACTGCATTGCCATTGATGTTAGCAGGAGCGCTCCTACGACGTGCGCGAGTGTCGCCGCATTTGCTGCTTCCGACCCACGTGTGGATCAGCTGATGCAGAAACGGCAATGGCGGGAGCGGCAG